CGTCCTCCAGCACCGTCTTGCACAATGTTCTGCTTTTATTCGTTGTACCTTCAGCATCAGTGTTTCGAAGCTATGCGTAAGGTTTGCAGTGGCTTCTTCCTCAGAAGTGGGAAGCTGAGTTCTTCTTTGGTGCCTATTCTTAGTCTGGAAGTTCTGCTGAAACCTGTTCACTTTGAGTGATGCTGCTGGCATTTGAGATACAATAGCCGTAGCTTTTGTATGACATAGCTTCCAGCATCCCAGCAACACACAAGCCACCACAGTAACATGAAATAAAAACCAGAACAAATTAAAATAGGTCGAAAAGGAAAAGAAATTATTAGATGCTAAAATTTAACCTAATTATATCTGTTAATTTACTTTGTGATGCCCTCTGTCTGAGGGCAAGGCTGTTCATATCCCTAGTTTGTAGTCAGAGGGAACTTACTGGAGGCTTAATCCCTGTGGGTACACTCTGCAAATGGATTTTGGGCTTTCAGTGTCCACCTGCAAAACTGGGTGGTCAGAATTTAAGTTGTAATACAATTCCCATCTCTGCTGACCTTGAGGTTAGTATTCCAATGTGTAATGCACCTTCACGACCACGGCACCTTTATAGTGCCTTAAGATACCCGTTTTTTAGTATTATTTTTCATAGTTCTGTGAACTAACTTGGATCAGATGGGCTGTTCTTCCTTGAAGTTTCTCGTGTGGGTTCAGTTAGATGTTGCCTGGGGCTGCAGCCATCTGAGGCTCCTACACTTGCATCTGGTGACTAGGATGGGTCTCATGGGGGCTTCTTAGGTATCTTTCACCATTTGGCTTGTCTGTATGGTTAGTTGTGCATCCTCTTGGCATGTAAGTATCAGGGTAGTCAGATTTATTATGAAAGTGAAGGGGTGGAGTTTAGCCTGTCAATCAGGTCACAGCCTGATGAATGCCTCCTGGTGGGCATGGCCTTCTCATGAGGATTCCTCTTGGAAAACATTCACTCTGGAAACAGTGAGCCACTTCATAATAAATCTAACTCATGAGGATTCGGGGAACTTCCTCTCTTTCTCCTTGGAGGTGGTCCACACACTTACTGCTTCACCTTTTTGTTGAGTAATCACTTTTAGAGAGATGGAGGAGCCACGTGGATGCTTCCACTGCCATTGGATCCACAAGACTTTTCACCCACTGCCCTGTGATCTTCCTGCATTACGCATTATTGCATGTGCTGTGTGAATTTAAAGAGGAATTTATGGACTAGTATCGCACATATGGGCTAATATCGGTCTTATGGACTTGATCTGGATTGGGCTGGGATGTTTTCTCAATATACAGTTGCTCTTTAATATAAAACTCTTTTCACATTTATGAATGTCCCTGGGTTTGTTTCTCTGGTCAACCCGACCTAACACATGGGTCTATCCTGATTGGAGTTGGCTAGCTTCCAGGTAGTTATCTTCTCATCCTTTATGCAACAAGGAAAATTTTCTTCCAGGAGTTCTTGGACTTTACTCTGGGATTTTTTTCTGTTTCTTCATCTTCTGAAATCCCTATACATTGGAGGATGTTCCTCTTGATTGTGTCCCACATTGTTCTTAGGCTTTCTTTACGTTTTTGTAGCTTGTAATTCGCTTAGATTGGAATTCAAAGGTTTTTATCTTTTAAAAAAAAACATTTTATTGGGAGTTCTTACAGACATCACAGCAGTCTATAGTTCAATCACACCAAGCAGTATTGTACATAGACTGTTTCAAAACATTTTCTTCTTTAATTCCTTGCTATCCACTCCCCTTTACCCCCACCCTTTCTCACCCCCCTCACAGGAACCCTTATTATTTTTGCCACATCTTGCACCATCCAATATATTCATTTATGTACAATTTTGTTGTTCGCTCCCCTTCAGTGGGGTTATACAGCTACAAGTACTATCAGCGCCTCCCTCTTCCCACTCTTCCCTCTCACTTCCATTTCCTCAGGGAACCATTACTCCTGTTACTGTTTCTGAAAGGTTATCTATCTTGGCTGTCATGTATTGAATAATCTTAATTATACAAATGAACATCTGCAAGTCTAACATGATGAATGAGGTAAGACAAATAAAAGCCATAATAGGGGAGGAAATATTAGAGAACTAGAGGATATTTATGTGCTTCCTCAGTGCTATACCACACCCTGGATTTATCATCCCTTCCATGTGGCCCTTCTGAGAGGGATCATCCATTTAACTTGAAGGTGGGTTTTATGGCTCCACTACATTCTACCCCTTCATATCGATCTGATACCTTTTCTGTGGACACTTCATGATGACACAGGTTGGTGTGCTGCTTCCATGTAGACTTTGTTCCTTTCCTGCTAGATGGCCGCTTGTTTGACTACCAGCCTTTAAGATCCCATGCACTGTATTTTTTAATAGCCGACCACTATCAACTTTCTTCACCACATTTGTTTATGCACCCATTTTGTTTTCAGCGATTCTGTCAGGAATGTGAATATAAAAAAAATGCAGGGGTTGCAATCCTAATCTCAGATAAAATTGACCCCAAAGTGCAAACCATAAAAAGAGATAAGAAGGGACACTATATAATATTCAGAGAACCACTAAGCATTTTAAACATATATTCCCTGAACGAGAGACCCAATAAATACATCAACCAAACGCTCCAAAAGATGAAAAAAGAAATCGCAGCCTCAACAATTATAGTAGGTGACTTCAATACACTGCTCTCTGAGAACGATAGATTACAGGGGGGAAAACTGAACACGGAGGCTAGAGAGCGAAACATGACAGTTTGACCTGATATTTTCAGAGCTTTTCATCTAAATATAAAAAAATTCACATTCTTTTCAAGCCCACATGGCACATATTCAAAGATAGACCACATGCTGGGGCATAAGGCGAATCTACATAAATTTAAGCACATTGATATAACAGACCTCTCTCTCTGACCACTGTGCTAGAAATAAAAAAAAAAAGGAAGATGAAGAAAACAAGAGCAAACAATTGGAGGATGAATAACTCTATTGCAAAAGGAGTATGTACTAGCCCAGATCAGAAAGGAAATTAGGAAATTTCTAGAAACCAACGAGAAGGAGAACACAGTGTACCAAAACTTATGGAACACAGCAAAGGCAGGTATCAGAGGAAGTTTCATAGCAATGCGTGCACACACGAAAAAGGAAGAGACACATGATTGATATGCTGGCACAAAATTTACATCAACTAGAGCAGAGTCAGCAGGACAATCCTACTAATAGTAAAAGAAAAGAAATAGAAATCAGGGCTGAGATTCAGGAGAGGAAAAATAAGAAAACTATGGAAAAAAATTAATGCTGCTGATGGACATTGGGCCTCCACTCTAGTACTCCCTCAATGCAAGAATACTTTGTTCTATTAAACTGGCATTCCATGATGCTCATCTTTCTGACATGATTGCTGAAGACAAAGCGGGTGCATAAGCAAAAATGATGAAGAAAGCTGAAGGCGCCTGGCTATCAAAAGATTTTATGTATGGGGTCTTAAAGACTTGAAGGTAAACAAATGGCCATGTAGCTCAGAAGCAACAAAACCTTCATGGAAGAAACACATTTGCTTGAGTGATCATGAGGTGTCAAGGTGATCAGGTATCGGGCATCAAAGAACAAAAAATCTTATTATTGAGAATGAGGGGAAGTGTGGAGTGGGGACCCAAAGCCCATCTGTAGGCAACTGGACATCCCCTCACAGAAGGTTTGCAGGAGGAGTCAAGTCAGTCAGGGTACAATGTAGCAACGATGAAACATACAACTTTCCTCTAGTTCCTAAATGCTTCTTCCCCTGACTATCATGATCCCAGTTCTACCTTACAAATCCGGCTAGACCTGAGGATGCACACTGGTACAGATAGGAACTGGAAACACAGGGAATCCAGGACAGATGAACTCTTCAGGACCAGTGGTGAGAGTGGCGATACCAGGAGGGTGGAGGGAAGGTGGGGTAGAAAAGGGAAACCAATTACAGGGATCTACATATAACCCTCTCCCTGGGGGATGGACAGCAGAAAAGTGGATGAAGGGAGATGTCGGACAGTGTAAGCCATGGCACAAATAATGATAATTTATAAATTACCAAGGGTTCGTGAGGGAGGGAGGGTCGGGGGAAGGAGGGAAATAAACAAGGAGCTGATTCCAGGGGCTCTAGTAGAAAGAAAATGTTTTGAGAATGATGGTGGCAACAAATGTACAAATGTGCTTGACACAACAGATGTATGTGTGGATTGTGGTAAGAGTTGTATGAGCCCTCCAATAAAATGATTTTTTGAAAAAGGAAGTTGAAAATCATTTAATGCCACATTATAGAACAAACCGTTCTTATTTGTTTATATTGTTTGTCTGGTGTTGGCTCTTTTTCTTTGTCTGTGACCTTGTGAATTTGTGTCTTTAGTCCTCAAACCCTATTACAAGGATCTTGAAAGGGGGGTATATATAAACATATGTGTGTGATTTCCAGTGTATATATGGGCCTTTATCCCAATCACCTGTAAAGATTTAATTCATTGTGAGATCTGAGATGAGAGTTTTACACAATTAAGCAAAATTAGAAGTTATTTTGCAGCAAACATGTTCTTAAGAGAAAATATTAAATGTACAAATTAGAATTCCATGTTTCATAGGGTGATACTTAGAAAAATAGACAATGTATTTGTTTAGCACTAAATGTTTGGAACAAAATCTATTCTGTCAAAAAATGTGATGGATTACCATAGTTATTCTTCTAAAAATCTCCAAATTTTTGGCGATGCATTTATTGTGAGCAGCTACTTCTAGGTGAATTATGGGGCATGTTTCTAAAACTTATCTCTTTTCTAATCTCTTTTATCGGTGAAATAAATACACTTGTAGTGTACAAAATACTGGTAAGAAATAGAAGATAGTATCTTTTTTTTCTCCCTTGAGTACATCAACAAGAAAACCAAACTTACCCTGTTTGTGTTTACTGTGGGTCAGCATTTGGCCTGGCTGATCCTGATGGTTGTATTCTCACTTCCTTCCAGGACACCGGGGTTGGAAAATCAAGCATCGTGTGCCGGTTTGTCCAGGATCACTTTGACCACAACATTAGCCCAACAATTGGGTAAGTTTTGTATGTTATCCTTTACATTTTTATTTTCGAAGAACTCAAGAAGTGTCCTGGTCTGTTTCAGCCTTTAGGCAGGGCACAAATTTCATCCTAGCCAGTGAAATTCAGCCCAATGATAACAGTAGGATGAACAGAGATTCAAGGACTTCCAAGCAAAGAGCCTGGGCTTTTCATCGTCCTGTGTTCTTGTTTTCTTTGGCCAGCTTTTCTCACACTACAACTGAAGACTGTTTCCTTTGTCTACAGGAGTGCCGTGTTGTAAATTGTATCTGGTGTATTTACAGGTGGACAATGATCTACAAGATGAGTCCTCAAAAGTCCTTCTTTAATTTGCCTGCTGAGTGCACCCTGGAGTTTCTGTCCACGAACATCACAGCTGTCCAATCGTCTGTGAGGCAGGCTCATTCTCCTCTCTAGATGTATCGAAGGCCAGCATTTCCTCTCTCCTAACGCTTGGGGACAAAGTGGCGATGGGCTGGTCAGTTCTCAGGCCCAGACTTTGGAATGTTGGTGGGCTTCCTCATACATACTCTCTTTCCTGGTGGACTCTGGCTGGGTGCGCTTTGGAGTGCTGTGTTGCAGGTGGTCACCTTTCATACGTTTAGATGTCAGCCTCGTTATTCACCCTGAAGGTATGCTCATTGCAGAGAGCAAGCGTTCACTTCCCCGCAGAATCCTTCCCTGTGGGATTGAGGAGGACAGGCGAGATTGTCTGTGTACGAGGAAAGAAAAGAAAATTCATGAGAGAGAATAAGCAGGTGGTTAAGGCCAATTGGTTGGAGTTGTACAGGTGAAAGAATCTATCTACCACATTTCTCTTTCTTAAATGGTGTCAAAAACATGGTTACAAAAATGAAATTCAACATGGCTGTATAGTCAGAACCACTCATAATTTCTCTCCCAAGAAAAACTTTAAAAAACATTGGATCGTTTTTCAGGAGCCTGAGCTCCAGGCCTCCCCTGAGGAACAGAAACCCCTGCTGACTACATCTCAGTGCCGCAGAGGGAGGAATCCATGCCAAGAATCCTATAAAAAAGACAAGGATTCTGTGGTGCCCAGCAGGACACCTGCTGAACCACCACTGTCCCCATCCCCTGCTCTCCAGACCTTAAGGGTGAGCTGATGGCCTATTTCCTCTTTCCTGCTGCTGTCAGTTAGCAGTGCTTCCCCTGCATAATTGGGGAGTGGTTGAGTATGAAATTAGGCAGGGAAATTCACAGGCTTCTGAGCCATGCACTGAGAGATCCAGCCTGCTAATTGCATGCCAGCTGGATAAGGGGAGAATTAACTTTGTTGTGGACTGGCTCCCAACACCTGGCTGAAACTCTTGGGGACTGGACTGTGGCAGAACTTCCCTGAAGCATCTGGAGGACTGACTGACCCTGTGCAGATGCCGAGTTGAAAGGTCATGTATTAGGGGAGACAATTGGTGTGGCAATGTTTGAGTGTTTCTCTGTGAGACTAGGATTCAAAGTGCTAACACCTGCCTGTCCAGAAGCCCACCCCCAAATAGAATCTGGGTCCAATTCTGACATACAGGGCTGATGAGAATAACTTTGGGGAGGCATGTTGTATCTAGTCTATTCTCACCCCTGTTGTATTTATCTGGTTGATCTTGCCTGACACTCTCAGGCAACTTTGAACCCAGCCTTGAAACCCAGACTTTGACAGAGGCAATATTTAATTGTTTTCTGTCTTTGGTTACTTCTGAGCGTAGACTGGTGGGGAACTTCCTGGCCACCTTTGACTACCCAGTTTCCACAAGAGGTGTGTGGGAATTGCTATGACTCAGAGACAAATAATAAAAAAGGAAACAAACAATAATACTACGTCTCAAAAACAGCTCTCAATCTCTGTGCACTTTCAGCAACAAGAGAAAACAACCCAAATTAATTGGAACACATAGAGATGTGGACCCAGAGGTGCTCCTGGGGAGAACAGGGTCATGGTCCTCCCATGAGGGAGGTTACAGAGATGATCTCCAGTTAAGCGACTCGAAGATAACTTTGATGGAAATAGGGAAAAAATAGAAGTGACTGTACAGTAACTCAAGAATGCTCATTTTGACAAAATGAATGAAATGCTAAAAATAATTCAGCAACTCCAAATAGAATTACAAAAGGCAAACACTGCAATATTAGAACTAGGTAACACTGTGAAAGAACAAAAGAGGATTGAAACAATGGAAACAAGAATTTGCAATTTTAAAGATAAATCTCTGGAGACCAAAATACAAGATCAATTATAAGGGTTGGCTTTTTAATCAAGTTATAAAAATGACCCCAAAATTTAAAATGTATGTTTTACAAATATTCCAGGACAGAAAGTAGAAATATCAACTGGAGAAAAAGTAATCGATGAAGTATGAAGGGAGAATTTTCCTGATATTATGACAGAATATAAAGTAACTATTCAGGAAGGCCCAAGAACTCCAAACAGAATTGATCCCAAAAAATTAATCCCAAAAGAGGCACATTATAATCAAATTTCCCAGTATTAAAGAAAACAATCCTGATAGCAGCTTGGCAAAAAAGAGTAATCCATGTTCAGATTTCTCTACTGAACCTTACATGGAAGAAGACTATGGATTGGTATATTCAAAAATCTGAAAGAAAAAACTGCCAATCGAGTCTTATATCCAGCAAAATTATTTCAACAACACAAAGGCAACAAGATAGGTGGACTTTTCCAGATGCAATACACATAAATCAAATTGACTGTATGGGAAGAGCCAATGGAGAAGTCCAATATCAGCTAAAATGAGGCTAGTGCAAAGACCTAGAGTTAGAAAATAAAAAAGAAAGAAAACACATAACTGAAACTGAAAGAACTAAAGAAAAAAATTCAGATCTGAATTGTAATATTGAAAGATCCTGTGGGCAAGATCCTGAAGGCATTAGCCAAAAATGAAGCTATAGGAATTTATGGAATGCCAATTGAAATTTAGCTGATGGAAGTGGTTGAAGCACTCGCTGATCTATGCCAGAAAATGTGGAAGACAGTTACTTGTCCAACTTCCTGGAAGTGATTCATATTTGTACCATTCCAAAGAAAGGTGACCCAAGAAATGCTCAAATTATAGGATAATATAATTGATATTACGTGCAAATAAAATTTTGCTGAAGATCATTCAACAACACTTTCAGCAATCCATTGACAAGGAGCTGCATTAAATTCAGCCTAGATTCAGAAAAGGACATGGAACAAGGGATATCATTGCCGATGCCACATGAATCTTGACTGAAAGCAGAGGATAGCAGAAAGCTGTTACTTGTGCTTTATTGACTGTATGGATCATAATGACTATGCGATATAGCCTTGAGAAGAATGGGAATTCCAGAACACTTCATTATGCCCATGCTGAGCAGTTGTGTGACCAGAACAAAGAAATACAGCATGGTTTAAAATCAGGAAAGGTGGCCATCACGGTTGTATCTTACCATACTTATTCAATCTGTATGAAGAGCAACTTTTCAGAGTAGCAGGAGTATAGGAAGAAGAATGCTGTATCAGGGTTGGACGAAGGTTTATTAACAAGCTGTGATATGCAGATGACAGCCTTGCTTGCTGAAAGTGAGGAGGACTTGAAGCACTTGCTGATGAAAATCAAGAATTTGCACCTTCAGTCTGGATTATAGCTCAATGTAACAATCAAATCCTCACAACTGGACCCGTAGGTAACATCTTGATAAGTGGAGAAAAGAATTAAGTTGTCCAGGACTTTATCTTGCTTGGACCCACAATCAGTATTCATGGAAGCAGCAGTCAAGAGATCAGTTGATACATTCCATTGGGTAAATGTGCTGCACAAGACTTTTTAAAGTGTTGGAAAGGAAGGATGCTACCTTGAGGACTAAGGTCCTCCAGACATAAGTCATGAAATTTTCAGTCACTTCACATGCATGTGCAAGTTGGACATTGAATTATGGTTCTGTGAAGAGCACTGAAAGTATCATGGAGGGCCAAAAGAACAAACATCTGCCCCGGAAGAAGTAAAGCCAGAATGCTCCTTAGAAGCAACCATGGTGACACGTTGTCTTAGATCCTTTAACATGTTATCAGGATGAGCTTGTACCTGGAAAAAGAGGTCATGCTTGGTAAAGTTGGGCCAGCAAAAAAGAGGAAGACCCTTGACGAGAAGGAATCACACAGACTCTGCGACAGTGGGCGCGAGCATAAGAGCAGCAGTTGTGAGGATGGTGCAGGACTGGCCGGTGTTTTGGTCTTTTGTACGTGGAGTCACTGAGCCAGAGCTGACTGGACGGCACGTGACAGCAACCTCAGACTGGTCATGTTGAGTGGCACAAGTGGTTAAACACTCAACTTGTGGTAGAAAGATGGTCGTTTGAATCCATCTAGAGGCACCTCAGAAGGAAAGTCCACCCCCCTGCTTTCACAGCCTAAAAATCCCTATAGAATAGTTTTACTCTCCATGCATGGCTTTGCCATGAGCTGGAATCAACTTGATGGCAACTATCAACAACAGCAGTCTAAAATATCTCTCAAAAGGTACCACCCCTTCCTCCTAATTCATGATCCTTCAAGATTCATCCGCTCATTTGGTTGTTTTATCTCTTTCTGCTCTTTTTAACCGAGATTCTAGAGTAATCTTTTGGTTTGTTCCGTTTTTCATGACATTGCCTTATTGAAGTATGCAAGCCAATTATAGAATATTCTTCATTCTTACAAATGTGCTTGACACATGGATGAATGTATGGATAGTGATAAGAGCTGTAAGAGCCCTCAATAAAAGTATTTAATTTTTTAAAAAGTATGTTCTACATTCTATATTGGCCTAGTTATTTCCTAGAGATTAAGTTCAGATTAAACATTTTGGCAAGAATGATACACAGTATGAAGCTTACACAGTAAAACCTGTGTGTGCTAGAGCCTGTAAAAGGCAGAAACCTGCCACAAAGGGAAAACTAAAATATGTTTTCACTATTAGAAAGTAATGGAAAACGATGCACTTCTTCTATTGGGTTCTGGATGTCACTGGTGTCACAGCATTGTTAGGTTGTCTCACTCTTGGAGATGCTTGTTATTTTCAATGTGTATAAAGCTTTATCTCACAAAAGAAAAATTAAATATGTTAAACATTCCTTTACTCACCTTTTTCATCTTTCATGAACACACATACACAAAAGACTTACTAAGAAGATAAAGGCCAAAATGAAAATGTCATCAAGTGTTTTATTGTCTTCTGAGATTTCACATCCTTCATTTTTATAGGAAAAACTTAAATATTTGTTCAGTTGCATGTCTTCACCCAAGCATTTATAAAAGTAGGAGTGGTAGTTGTTAACGTAATCTGGTGTCAATTTGGGAGTTGAGAGGATTAAGAGTGAAGGGGTGGAGTCTAGTCTGTCAATTAGATCATAGCCAATGAGGCCTCTGTGTGGGCATGGCCTCCTCCTGAGGATTCTGGGAATTCCTGGTATTTCCTCAGTGGAGGCGAAAGACACTTCTCTCTCTCTGCTCACTTCCTTGGAGACTCTACTGACAAGGCTCACTTCCTGCAAGACATCCCTGAGGAGAAGCCACCTGGACCTACCCTGATGCAGCCCTGGAAAGTAGAGGAGCCAAATGGAGACCCCTGCCAGCATTGAGATGCTTACAACACCACTGGATCCAGAAGACTTCCAACCGACTGGCCTGTGATCTTCCTGCATTCAGCATCATTGCATGTGTTTTGTGAGTCTGAAGAGGACTTCACAGATTGGTATCGGACGTATGGACTAATATCAGACTTATGGACTTGATCTGGACTGGGCTGGGTTTCTTTAGTTTACCCAGACTGACACAGTAGGGCAGAAATTACAGAGTTTTATTAGTAGCCTTACCCCATTGGTTTCGTACCAGCATAGGTAAATAGGTAAGGCAGTGCTCTTTTTGTGTCATTCTAAAATCAAAACTTGAAATTCAAGTGGGATATACCCAAGACTGTATTTTGACTCTCATGAACTTGTCTACATTTTATTCTGCTTCAACCTGTACTTGCATGTGAGATATTGATGGTTTGTTCCACAGTTAACCCCTGGCCTCATTTTAGGTGCTGATATTGAGCTTCTACATCGGCTTTTCCCACAAATGTAACCAGTTTGATTTCTGTGTATTACATCTGAAGAACTATGCATATAATGGCTTATTGTGTTGTTGCAAACAGGTATTTGCACTGAAGTTGTTGGTCTTGCAGAATTCTATCATTCTATCATCTATCCAGCTTAATTTCTCTCACCAAGGCCATATTTTCCAACTATTGTTCCTTCCTCTTTGTTTCCAACTTTTGCATTCTGATCTCCAATAACTAATTATCTTGATTACATGCTTAATGAATTTCAGACTGAGGATATTGGTAAAATTCTTCAATGTCAGCATCACTAGCTTTAGTTGTTGGTACATAAATTTGAATAATAATTACATTGCAATTTATGTATGTATGGATTGTAATAAGAGTTGTATGAGGCTCCAATTAAAAATATATATATATATAAAGGAAAAAATTACATTGACTGGATTTCTTTGTATGTGGATAAATATCATCCTATTACAGACAGCATTGTACTTCAAAATAGAAAGGTGTACGTCAGGGTTGTATTCTCTCACCATACTTATTTAGGCTGTTTGCTAAGCAAGTAAACAAAGAAGCTGGTTTATATGAAGTAGAATACAGACAGTATCAGGATTGGAGGAGGGCTTATTAACAGCCTGTAATATGCAGATAACACAGCCTTGTTTGTTGAAAGGAGGAGTTGGAGCAGTTACTGGTGAATTACCAAGGGTGGCAGTATGGAGCACAACTAAACTATTTATTTATTTATTTACAACTTAATTTAAAGAAAACAAAGATCCTCAATATTGGACTTTTCTATCATAGTAAATGTAGAAATGACTGATGTTTTCATGGATTTCATCTTGCTTGAATCCACAATCAGTACTCATGGAAGCAGCAGTCAGGAGATTAAACTATGCACTGCATTGGTAAATCTGCTGCACAAAGACTTCTTTGTAGGCTAAAAAGCAAGGATATTACTTTGAAGATTAAGGTGGACCTGACTTAAGTCATGGGATTTTCACTTGCCTCATATGCATATGAAAGTTTGGCATTCAATAAGGATGACCAAAGAAGGATTGATGCATTTGAATTATTGTATTGGTGAAGAATATTGAAAGTACCATGGAATGCCAAAAGAACAAATGAATTTCTGCTGGAAGAAGGCAGCCCAGAATACTCCAAGGATGGAGAGACTTCGTCTCAGGTACTGTGGTCACGTTATTGGGAGAAACCAGTCTCTGGAAAAGCACAGCATGCTTGTTAAAGGAGAAAGAGGAAGGCCACAACAAGATGGTTAGACCTAGTGGCTGCAGCAGTGGTCTTAAACAAGAACAATTGTGTGGCTGGCCCAGGACTGAGCGGTGTTCATTTTGTTGTACATCCGGTCACTGTGAGTCAGAGCCAACTTGATGGCACCTAACTGACAAGAGCAACAAAGTCAAAACCAGAGCACACCAACATCCCAGCTGTCCTTTTCACTCGAAATTATTAAATCGCCTTTTATATAATCTAAGGTTGTATTCTTTCTTGAGATCTGGGTATGTAATGTTAGAGCAATTACAGATAAATATAGTCATCGCTCAGGCCCAGCCCCTCTTCTATGGCATACCATGAAGAAAGGTTAAGTGTCTTCTCGGTTCTGGCCACCTCCCTCCTTGCTCTCACCTTCAAATATCTCTGCACACTCTTTCCTAGATGTTTCCGGAAGTCAGGGTTGACACTGCACGAGGTGCCAGTAGCTAAAATGACAACTGATTAGGCATGATTAATTCATTTAAATAATTATTTTCTCATGTATATGATAGCTGCCCTTGTATACATGTAGAGGATAATCTCTTTCAGCAGTTTTTGTATAGTCAAAATGAAGCTTTTCTGTGTTTTAAAGACTTCCATGAAAGTAGAATACAAATATTATTTTTGAGATTGAACAGTATTTGAATACATATATTTTTTCCTCTTATGAGTGTTCATAGAATTCTTTATAAAAGTTCATTTCATCACTAGATGACTAATATTAGTACCACATTGATACCAATAATACATTAGGTAAGGCATTATTCATGTTGTAAAGAGAATGCAAGAATGGCAGCGACTTTTAAACCTTAAAAGTGTAGCATTATTCTACTGACGTGGGAAGTAACTGACGTGGGAAGTAACTGACGATGGCTGGTTCTTTCAAGTACTGTACTTTGCTCACCTCCAGATAGATCCTCAGCACTCGCTAAATGCTGAATAAAGGAGTTCAGACATTTGAAAGCTCTCCTCCATATTTTCCGTATAAAGTCTGTAATCGTTTTATATTTAGAGAAAAAATATTAACTTTATTGGTTTGAAAGAAAATTTCAAAAACAAAACATGGAGTTGAACTTTAATTATTGCGTTTTCAGTTATGTATTCTTGCACTTTTATGATGCTTTTTTCTTAAAAGGCCGTTACTTCAGAAAATCTCTGGAAATAATGCATTTTTTTCCCTTTTTGTAGTTCACTGCTGAGTTTTTATTTCTTGTAGTATTTTTATATTCTTGATTACTGTCTTTAAAGTAGCATCAGATTTATAGTTCTGTGCTGTTACTCTGGGAACACTGCAAGTTTATGTTACAGTCCTAAATAGTTTTGTTCTCAGGGTATCAGCCCAAATAGTGTGTTTTTATATTATTTTTACTGACAATGTTTTATTTATTATGTTGCTCCTTTTTGTTTGTTTGCGTGTTTTTGTGGTTTATGTCAATCATTAAGCCAATTAATTATGTACTGTATACATTCTAGGAGCCGTTATGTGTTGGGCTGGTATCTGAATGATTGATTGTTCAAAACCACCAGTAGCTCTGAGAAAGACAGGGCTTTCTAGTCCCTTAACATTTACAGTCCCAGAAACCCATAGGGGGTCGCAGTGAGTCATCATCAAATCGATAGCAGTGAGATATATCCTCTACGACATCTTTGATTTAGCATTTTAATCCTTGTATATACGTAGAGAGAGGTGTTTAAACCTATGTTCTAAAGCTCCATAATAAAGCTAAGAAAGAACAGTTTTATTTAGCATATTTGGCATAGTCACTCACTGCCGTCGAGTCCATACCAGCTCAGAGCAAATCCAGAGGACAGGGTAGAACTGCCCCTGTGAGTTTCCGAGATTGTAGCTGTTTACTGGAGTAGAAAGACTCGTCTTTCTCCCGAGGAGCAGCTTCTGATTTCAAAGCGCTGATCTTTCAGCTTGCAGCCCAACTCGTTACTACTACAACACCAGGGCTCTGCCATATTAGGTCATGACTCTTTTCCTGTTTGCTTGTTTTTACACATTTAAAAATTATTATTTTTAAGCTATATAAGAAAATGCTTTTCTAATATTAAATTAGCCATTTCTTAGGTTAGAAATCACCTGTGTGATCTTTAAGTTTAAAGGTAATATTAGATCATAGCTCCGAAGGTGCTCGGTGCTGTCGTGGTTACACATTCAGCTGCAATCGCTGTGATTGGCGGTTAGAAACCACCAGTGGCTCTACGGGAGAAAGACTGGGCTTTCCGGTGCCATAGACAGTAGCAGTCTCAGAAACCCAGGGGTCCCTTAAGTCAGCAAGGACTCAATGGCAGTGAGTTAGGTTTGGGTTTTGATTTTGGACTCTCCATCAAGCCTTTCTCTTTGTGGTTCTTTGAGCATCGGAGCTTTGTGAGAGTCTGACTGGTACATAAAGTTAATCTGCTTGAGATGTGAATGTTAGCAATAATAACAAAGAGTACCTTGTAATTGGAATATGCTTACTCTTTTCCAGGGCGTCTTTTATGACTAAAACAGTTCCGTGTGGAAATGAACTTCATAAGTTCCTCATCTGGGATACTGCTGGTCAGGAACGGGTAAGTACATGCTGATGTTGGCGTTCTAGAGAAAATATATAGCTTCATTTCTGAAGGTTTCTTTGTGTTAGACAAGCATATTGATTGTAAGGCACACAACTGAACTTGAAATAATTTAAGCACGAAAAGGAATATATTCTCCAGCTATGTGAAAACCTAAGAGATGCCTATCATAAAACAGGGCTGTGAGTCCTCAGAATATGTTTTCCTATCACCACCTCCACCCCCCACTCTCTGTTCTGAGCGTTACGCAGCATTAAGTTCAAGAATATATAAAGTTCAGCTGTATAGAATTCAGGGATGGTTGGTGCTCTATCTGGTGTACTGGGTACAGCAGGGGTGCTCACACTTTGTCAGCATGCAAGCTACTTATAAAATGATCAAGTCAAAATGACCTACCAACTACAAAAATGCAAAACATATTTATTTTTATTACATTTATTCATAAATGCATTGAGAATTCTTTATATGGACAATGTGTGTTTATGTACCTTGCATAACCGCACGAGTCCATATTGCACAACACAACACAATTAACTATGTGCATTTTTTTGTCATTCCCTGAGTTTACTCTGATGACTTGCACTGAATGGAATGAGCCAGGGATGCTAGTCTGGACAGTAGCTGCTGACAGCCAGCCTCAAGCACACTTCCAGATGATCAACAGTCATGGTGGAACGGTACTTGGACTTCATGATCTTTATGTGGGCAAAGGCTGACTCACATAAATAAGTAGAGCCGAATCATGCAGTCAAGGAGGTAGCATGTCTTCTCATGTTTGGGTACTTTCCCTCTGCGAGTGCGTTCCAGACTCTTCATGTGCTCTGGACTTCAGCTGGATGTCGGCTTGCAGTGTCAAAATACCCCATTCTGTATGAAAGTGATACGAGCTCCCCACTCATTTAAATACCCTTTCTTAGGTTTGAGGGGGAAAAACCAAGGTCTAAAAATTGGCGAAAACTTAGTTTGTCAGTTTTGCTGGTTAGCGCAGTTGTTTGCGCATGCATTTGACACTTAAGATTGCATCTGATTGGCTGCGTTGTGTATCAATTAAGTGACAGGATCGATGATAGGCTTACATCTATTTTTTTAATGCCTTGCAATCTACTCACACTATATTTGCGATCGACTAGTAGATCTCGATGGATGTGTTGAGCACCCCTGGGGTACAGTAATCCCTAAAGGTAGGGTTATCAGCCTTGTAATACATTACCGGGTAGGCTTTGTCTCCAAGGAAAGTCTTGATTCTCTTACTAGAAGACAAGGAAATGGATACTGGATTACCAGAAGCCACAGATGACTTTTCCTTAATTACTTTCATTTGCTGAAAATAATTATGGAGAAGGTATTTACTTAAGAAATTCTTAAGAAATTCAGATTTTAAAAACAAGTAACGCTTACCAACACATTTGTATCTGTAAACTGTATTTTCGCAATCAGAGTGGATATCATCAGAATGGGAGAGATGAATGAGATCAAGGGGGCACATGTATAACAATACCTTGTCTTTGCCAAGAGCTTTCCGTTTTCTCAGAACGGAACTATGTAGAATTGGTTAGACTTCTCTTTCTCTTATGCAAGCGCCCTTTTAGAATTCCGACACTTCCTTCCTTTCCCCTCCCTACTCCATTCATTTCCAGTTCTAGCCTGTCTAATTTTTCTTCAGTTCTGTTTAATTCACTTGGTGATACTGTTTTCTTATCTATCTCTCAAAAGAATCCGAGGTTCAGGGTAATTCATAAATCAGCTCATGGATTTCCTTCTAAAATTTAAAAAAATTTCTAGTGTTTGCATATTAAGGTATTTGAAAGATTTTTTTTTAAAGATTTTATTAGGGGCTCATACAACTGTTATCCCAATCCATACACACATCAATTGTGTAAAGCGCATTTGTACATCGTTTCTCAAAACATTTTCTCTCCATTTAAACCCCCGACATTAGGTCCTCATTTTTCCCCTCCCTCCCCGCTCCCCCCTCCCGCATGAGCCCTTGATAGTTTATAAATGGGTATTTTGTCATATCTTGCCCTGTCCGACGTCTCCCTTCACCCACTTTCCGGTTGTCTGTCCCCCAGGGAGGAGGTCACACACAGTTCCATGTAATCGGTTCCCTCTGAAAGATTTTTTTTAAGAAGATAAATCTTCTTGACTGTAAGTTCTAACATTAGAATGACGCCTATTTCTCTGGGAAATTGAAAGACAAACTTTAACACACGAAGTTACTGCCTGGAACAGCTTTTTACTGAGTCTTCTAGGGACGCGTCCTTGGACATGAGAAGACACGTACAAAGAAACACTGTTTGTTAAGAGGCATACTGTGTAACGTATGTGTAGTAGTTCTGACACGGAGCCCTCGTGCCACTGGGCTGCTACTCCTGCAAAGCATTGGTGTTGGGAACCCACAGGAGCAGTTCTACCTGTCCTATAGGGTCACTAGGACTTGGCATTGACTCGATGCACTGAGTTTGTGTTCTACTTTTTTTTTTTCTTTTGTTTAAATTTAGGCAGAGAGGTTTTCTTGTTCCTCTTTTTACTGATGGCCACAAAGGAGTTGCTTTTCAGCTACTTTTAATGAGCAGAATGCACTGACTTCTTAGCAACTGTATCATTATCTCACATTTCACATTCATAATCATAATAAAAATATCTATGCAACAACTTTGCACACTAATGATGTGTGTCCTGTGGTAATGAATGATGAAGTTACAAGGTGAGCGTAAAGCTGGCTGTGATAGTTAAGGTTATATGTTAACTTGACCATTATTCTTAGTGGTTTGCCGTTATTTAGTGATTAACTTGGCAGTTATGTAGTGACGATATAGTCCTCTTCCATTTTGTCATCTAATTTGATCATTCTCTATTGTCAAAATGCTAATTTTCTTATAACAACATTGTTTTATTTATTTATTATTTATTTTAAAAATCATTTTATTGGGGGCTATTATAGCTCTTATCACAATCCATTCATCCGTCCATTGTGTCAAGCACATTTGTACATATGTTGCCATCATCATTTTCAAAATATTTTCTTTCTACTTGAGCCCTTGGTATCAGCTCCTCATTTTTTCCCCTCCCTCTTGAACCTTTGATTTATAAATAATTTTTTTTTTTCATGTCTTCCACCAACCGCTACCTCCCTTCACCCACTCCTGTTATTTGTTCCCTTGGTGGAGGGGAGTTATTTGTCGATCATTGTGACCCTTTCTCCCCCACCTTCCCCCTACCCTCCTGGTATCACTACTCATTATTGTTCCTGGGGAGTTTATCTCTCCTGAATTTCCTGTGTTGCAAGCTCTTATCTGAACCAGTGTATATCCTCTGGTCTAGATAGATTTGTAAGGTAAATTGGGGTCATAATAGTGAAGGGAGGAAGCATTAAAGAACTAAAGGAAAGTTGTACATTTTGTCAGTGCTATACTGCACCCTTACTGGCTCATCTCTTCCTTGTGACCCTTCTGTAAGGGGATGCCAATTGTCTACAGATGGGCTTTGGGTCTCTACAACACCCTCCCCCTTATTCACATTGATACGACTTTTTGTTCTGGGTCTTTGATGGCTGATACCTGATCCCATCAACACCTTATGATCACATAGGCTAGTGTGCTTCTTCCATGTGGGCTTTGTTGCTTCTGAACTAGATGGTCACTTGTTTATCTTCAAGCCTTTAAGACCACAGACACTATATCTTTTGATAGCCGGGCACCATCAGCTTTCTTCACCACATTTGCTTATGCACCCATTTTGTCTTCAGAGATTGTGTTGGGAAGGTGAGCATCACACAATGGCGGGTAATTAGAACAAAGTGTTCTTGCATTGAGGGAGTTCTTGAATAGAGGCTCAGTGTCCATCTGCTACCTTAATACTTAACATATAAATATATATGCATAGATATGTTTCCCTGTTATTATATATAACTATATTTCCACATGTACAACCTTGTTTTTAGAATCTACACATGTCAAGTGAGAGTGGGTGTTATCAATTTTGCAAATAGTTGGTTCCATTAGTATTATCAGTACAACTGACTAGTTTCTTGTATGTTGTGCTTTATTTACTATTCTGAGTATCTTATGTGTTTTACACTACAAAATAGAGATCATTACAGGCAGTCTTCAAGTTACAAACCAACTCCTTAAAGCTTATTAAATGAAGACACAGGAAAATAATTTGTGGAGTCGACTAATGAACACTTGAAGTCGATGACCTTGAGACTGGAAGAAGCAGTTGGTTCCTAAGTACCAACTGCTCTGAAAATGTATCACATTAGAAGGTCTTGGCTAGAGTGGGAGAAAAACATGCAACAAAACTCAGAATCATAAAGAGGATCAGGTTTTACCTGTCTGATAAAGACTGTTGGAACACTCAAGACTGTGGCCTTAATGAACTCACCACCATGGCTCAATTTTCAACCAGACAATATGCAAGTCAGGAAGAGGAATCGTAACACTGTGAAGGCACACATACCTTAGGATAATCGGTTATTGAAGATCAGAGGGGTAGCGTTTACCCAGGGGCAGAGTTCAGAACGGTTAGGAAGCATGGAGAACACTACCTTCATTCTGGCTGGATAGGCGAGATTAGGATCATCTGGAGGTTGATTCTCAAAGCCTAGCTGAAACTCTTGAGGATCTTCTGGGAAGATCAAGGGAATGATACAACCTTGGGGGAGTTCTACAAAAACTATGGATAGAAGATCCACTCCAAGTAAATATACTTCACCTGAACTGGAGACAATGAAGGAGAGGTACTTGGAAATAGAGCCTTGGCAATAGAAATCATACCAGAGACTTATAATAGAATTTTGCAACACCAATGATTTATTTATTTCAAATATCTATTTTCAGCAACATGAATTGTGATTATAATAGGGGAATATAGAAGTCTTTTAAAAGATGATATGGATTAAAATTTGTGTATTTAATTTGGGATTGTAGGAAATATGTTCACTTTGTCCTGATACTCATCATTATTCTTATAAACAGTTTCATTCATTGGCTCCCATGTACTATCGAGGATCTGCTGCGGCTGTTATTGTATATGATATTACCAAACAGGTAAGAGTGCTTCTTTAGAATTAAGATTAAAAAAACAATTAAGATGCTGTTTATGGTGCTTCTGTATTAGAAAGTACCACAGCAAGACTTCAATGCTGAGTCTTTCTTGCCAATGGTCTGTAATGAGATCTCGTTATACAGTGATCAGGGATCGTGAACACTATATATTTTGTTTATCTCACCTATTTATTATATTTTAATCTCATAATTAAATGCTAAAGTAAATAATAATGATTTTAAAAGTGACTATTTGTGAAATCAAGGTCATATCTGCTAGTACTCAGGAATGCCAGCTTTTTAGGAAAAAGAAAATTAATTTTAATTTCTGTATGTATAGGGCTAAAATATTTATTCTCTGTTGGTGTTCAATCATTCTACTTAAAAGCCAAGGATATGAAAAAAAAAAAGCCAGGGATATGTTTATATATATATATGTATGTATAAATATGGTTGTGTATTTGTGTATACATTATATGAATATATATATATACTTTTAAACATTTTATTAGGGGCTCATACAACTGTTATC